CGCTATCATAGAGCAGAACGGCCCTCACTGTGGCCATGTATACACGGCCTTTCAGACGGAGAGAAATTCCCTTCTGCCGCCAAATATGCCGCAGCTTCAAGAAGGAAGCTCTCGCCTTTGCAATGCGTGAGCTGACGTCAGTTTCTATGCGCCCATCATTGCTGATGCAGCTGCCAAGATAAGTGAAGTGACCAACCACCTCGAGTTCCTCGTTAGCAAGCGTCAAGGGGTCATCAAGTGGCTGGTGGTTCTGCAGCAACACTTTGCACTTTGAAGGTGCGAAGTGCATACCAAATAATGGGACCACTCTGGACAGGCTATTCAGGGTTGATTGGGTCGAAAAGCAAGACGATATCGTCCGCATAATCTAGATCAACTAACCTTTCACCAGGCAGCACTTCAACGTCTACATCATGAGATTCCGCAAGGGAACACTCCATGATAGAATTCACGACGAAATTGAACAAAAATGGGGAAATCGGACAACCCTGACGAACGCCACTTGTGGTCCGAAAGCTATCCGATAGAACACCGTAGACCCTGACTCGGCCTGTAGTGTTCGAGTATAGATCACGAAGGATGTTCACATGTTTCGTGAGAACACCTTTCCGCGCAAGGACTTCGAACAGAATCGATCGATTGACTAAATCGAACGCATTCTTGAAAATGAGGAACACAGCTATTGTCGGTCTGCGGTATGCGTGGCGCTGCTCTAGCGCTTGTCGCAAAGTGAATATATGGTCTATACAGCCATGTCCTGTGCGGAAACCGGCCTGCTCTTCCCTACTCCGAGCTTCCCCTTCTCGCAGTGAGGCGATGAACGAGAATCGAGGCCAATAATTTTGTCACAACTGGTGTTAGGCTAATACCCCTGTGGTTCGCACAGTCTGTGCGACTGCCCTTTTTGTATATCGTCACTATAATCCATTCGCTCCAATTATCCGGCACATCTCCTTCCAGATACATTCTAATAAGGAGGTCAATGCTTTGCAGAGGACCTCATCTCCATCCTTAACTAGTACAGGTGGGAGGTAATCCGGGCCAGCGGTACGAAAACAATTAAGGGCTGTGATCGCGTTTCGGATGTCGGTCTCGGACAGAGGCTCTAAACTAGCCGTCCATAGCTCGTCTTGCATCACCTGAGTAGGAAGAGGTCCGGGAGCAGGGGGCCAGCTGAACTGATCTTGAAAGTGTTCCGTCCAACGAACCATACGACGCTCCTTATTATGTATCAGCGCACCCGCGCTGTATCTGCTTGTCTCACTGACGCCTGGTTTCCTGGGATCAGTGGTGCGGATTAGCTGGAAGAGCTTCCGGTAATTGCCTACTGCTCCTGCCTCCTCCATTTCTTGAGCCGTACTGATCCACCAGGCTTCTTTGTGAGCACGTAGACTCTGCGTTAGTTCACGCCTAATAGCCCGTCTGGTCACATTGTGTTCAGAGCCAGCCTGCAGGTGTCTTCTAGATTCCAACAGGTTCACCGACCTTTCGGATATCCAGTGACTAGTGCGGTGACGATGGATAGTGCCACAAGCAGATGCTCCTGCGTCGTGCATGGTGGCCGAGATCCTATTCCACTGAAGCTCTCAGTGTCATTAGGATAAGGCAGCGGAAGTTCGGTATACAGTGCTTCTTGATAGGCTTACCTGATCGAGGACTGAGACAATTTCTCCGTTGCCAATCGTAGGGGAGGCTTGGTACGACTCCCGGTAAAGTTCATGGAGAAGCGACAGCGTACCAAGGCATGATCAGAGTCGACACAGGTACTCCAGTACGAGCGGCAATCCAGGATGGAACCACGCCATCTGTAACTTATGGCTATGTGGTCAATTTGGGTCCATCGCTGGCCAGCTACAGGAGGACGCCAAGCGGCACTTCGGTGCCCACTGTGTCTAAAAGCAGTGCTACTAAGAAACAACTGGTGCTCCGCACATAGTTGCAGCAAACGCTCACCATTGTCAGTTCGTTCGGAGTTAAGCCCACAATTACCACCCAGCTGAGCTTCTGAAGAGCTCAGACGCCCTACTTGTGCGTTCATATCCCCTGCAAGTACTATAATATCTGAACTAGTAGCACTGCTTAGTAGCGCGTGCAGTTCGTCAGAGAATGTGTCCTTGACAGTATTTGAACTGCAGTTAGTGGGAGCATAAGCAGAAATCACAAACAAACAGCGTTTTGTTTTACTTCATGAATTCACCTTAGCTGATACCGTCAAACAGGCTGCACATAAACGGCTGTTCACCGGAATCCAATCAACCAACGATGGAGCTGCGAATGACACCCACACCAGCTTGGCCCGTGAGTGCTGCATCGGCGTCTCCGGATGAGTGCAACCAATAGGGAGAGGATAAGCCGGGTGCAGTTAATTCAATAACCCCGTTAAGGTCATTGATCATGGTTTCGGACACACAACACACATCAATACCCAGTGTGTCCAAGGTGCGTGCGAGTGCAGCCTGTTTGTCTTAGACTGCGAATCTTGAATGTCGCCATGGAAACGGGACAGCATGGCCTTATAAGGGACTTTTGCCGATAGGTGTTGTTGGATGGTGGCTGCAGATGGTTCTACTCTAGTGGCACTTCGGTTGCTGTCAATTAAGCTGGGAATTATAGAAGGAAGGTTAGTAATGGGGGCCGGGATGGGAGTAAGAGAAAAAGGTGGAAAAGAAAGAAGGGAGGCACCAGTAGTAGCATGTTTTCGCCTATCCGCCCTGCTGTATGTAGCAGATAAGGCGACGCATGATAATCTGCGCGACGGCAGATGCAGGATGAAGTTTATGTTTGAAGAAAATGTCATGATTGTATGTGGGCTGAAATACTGCCAGGGCGCCGAGACCTAAACAGGAGGATGATTAGGGTCCTCATCCAAAGCCTTTGGCTCAAAAGCCTGTCCACAAGACAGCGGGGAGGTGGCAATGATTTAGTTTTACAGAAATGGACGTCATCCCATTTCAAACCCCCAACCTGGACGACTAGGAGACTGAGTTTGTCTGACCTCTCACCATTGACCAACCTGGTAGGAGTAGCTCTCAAAGTGCCCGGAGGCATCACCCAGTATAGCTCAATGGGTCAATGAGGTAGGCAAACCGTCGCACCACCTTAAGGTCCAGTCTCGTTGTGACGGGACTTACTTATTACTTGCTTTTGAAATTCTTTGTAGTGTAGTTTTTAGTGTCTTTTCTTTTTGTATTGCGACACATTAGCTGAGGTGTGTTTCTCACCCCCTGCTAACGTGTATTGTTGATAATGAGGATGTTTCCTTCGCAGCGTCAGAACTGCAGTTGATGGGAGCATAAACGAAAACCACAAACAAACAGCGTCCAACGCTACTTCGGGAATAAACTTTAATTAATGTCGTCAAATGGACTGCACACAAACAGCTGTTAACTGGAATCCAATCAGCCAACGACAGTCAGTCTTGGAGCTGAGAACCATGTCAACCATAGCTTGACCGGTGATTGCCGCAACAGCGTCTCCGCATGCGTCCTGCCATTAGTGAGAGCACATGCCTGGCGCAGTCAATTCTACAACCTCGTGAGAGTCATTGATCCTAGTTTCGGCGACACAACACACATCAGTACTTAGAGTGCATACGAGTGCAGCCTGTTGACCTATTTGTCTTAGAGTGCGAATGTAAAGCGCCGCCGCGGAAACGAGACAGTGTTTCCGTGTAAGAAGCTATTAACAATTGGCGTCCTGTGGCTGGTGCGGCAAATAGCTTCAGATGCTTCGACTCCAGTGGCATTACGGCCGCTGTCAAATAGGTTGATAATTATAGAAGGAAGGTTAATAATGGGTTTGGGGAGTAAAAGAAACATATGGAAAAGTAGGGAGGCGCCAACAGTAGCTTTTTTGCTTATCCACCTTGCTGTATACACCAGGTAAGGCGACCCTTGATAATCTGCGCGACGGCAAATGCAGGATGTGGTTGAAGTTCGAAGCAATAGTCATGATTGTACGTGGGCTGAAATACTGCCCATACCTTCACAGGAGGACGATTAGGTCCTCCACCAGATTTTGGCTCAACAACCTGTCCGCAAGGCAACAGGTAGGTGGTAATAGTTTGGTTCTACCTAACTGGACGTCATCCCATTTCCAACCCCTAAGCGGAAGGACCAAGATACTGAGTTCATCTGATCTCTAACCATTGACCAACCTAGTAAGAGTATCTCAAGAGCTCGGGGGCCCCACCCACTATAGCTTAGTGAGTCCATGAGGTACGCAAACCGTCACATCAGGTTATGCTACAGTGTCGTTACTACGAATGTTGTTTTTTTTCCTTCAGTTTCTTTTCGACTCTTCCCATTACGTTTTCTTTCTGCCTCACTGGCCTGCACAGTGAGGCCAACTAGTGTATTGCACGTGGGCATTGATCGGTTGACCGTGGGGAGATGCGCGCTTGTCGATTTGACACTGCCAAATCACAAATAGATTCGCACAAATCTATCCTGAACCAACGAAGCTTTTAACATGGAACATTCGCGTGATTATCCTGTTGTTCCTGTCCCCTATGAATTTTATCCATCGGCAGTTTTGACAACGCCGTCCAGCTCTTGACGTGTTGTTGTAATACATACGATAGTGCGGGTCTCTAATGCGGACAGACGGTCAGAGCTAAAACGGATACACACCGTTAGCACGAAATGCATGACTCATTTAACAAACGATGATGCTCAGACGAGCAAAGACAGTCGGCAGATCGGCACAAGATGTTTATCCGGTCCTCAGACCGCGACATGAGTTTGGCCAAGAGTGTACATAACCAAGGTAATTGGTTACACAGAACGAAACGAATGTACAAGAAGGTGAATCGGCGGGCTCCTATTAATGAACACTAATAAAGGCAGATAAAATGAACAATCGGGGGGACAGTAACTTTTAAACGGTCAGTTCGGCCTCGATTCCATGTAAGTCAGGCCCGCTCTCCATCCATCTCCGGCTCTTACTAGGTGCTTGTGACGAAATTACCCGGTCACCTACAAATTAATTTTTCCTTTCAGCCCTCACAGTCTACTGCGACCCCCGTACGCCGTAGACACGGAAGCCCTCAGAACCGTCGACTGGACGCATTCTACGTTTCGCACTTTACTGTAGAATATATCGTTCAATAATGTCTCAAAGCGCAGCTCTCTTCGGTGGTCCTCAACAGCTCCAAACTAAGCATTTGCTGCAGTTCAAGGCCGGAAAAATGGTTGTAAAAAGTGATAACTGGGTTCATGCGGACCCCCGTAAAGGCTGGGTTTATGTGTACCAATCAAGTGACGGCAAGCTGCACTTCTGTTGGATTGACCGAAAGACATGCTTGGTAGAGGACGTAAGTTTATCGTTCCACTAATATTCGTTTGCTTTAATAGAACTTTGTCATTGGTACTCAGCAGGCCGAGTTTAAACGAGTTCCACACTGCACGACCGGCAGAGTATACCTACTTCAGTTCAAGAATTCAAAGCGCTTTTTTATCTGGATGCAGGTTTGCACTGTCCCTTATTTTTCATTTGCTCCATGAGGAACCTAACGGCAAGAACGATGCCAACATATGTTCGAGAATCAACAGCTTTATCAATTCCCCGGCTCAATTTACTCCCCCCACAAGTGCGCCCTATTTCCTCAGTTTTTACTTCTTTTAGGTGATTGGTTAAGTAGCTTCGGTGGCTTCAATCAGTTTTCTCAAAGTGACTTACTTGCCCTGTTATGTACGTTGCCATTTTTTTTCTCATGACCTCTATTTAGCCATGGGTGTGGGCCTTGGTAGTGGCCTTTCAACGGATTCAGATGTGTGAGTACTTTGATTTTGTTGGTTTGATTTTGTTCTTCCTTTTGTTACTTGTCTTTTTGACTTTGTTTTCGCCAAACTTTTGCTTGTCTGACAGATGGCTCCCATGTGCCCGCCGTGGGAGCGTCGCTCTGTGAGATGTAAACGTGTTGTCTTGAGGACCTGCGTTTTAAAGTCCTTGGATCAAATTGTTAAAGTCCTATCCGCTGTTACACACACCATCTCAGTTCACAGTTGTAGTAGTATTTTGAATTTCTGGAAGTACTTCCAAGGATGTGAAGTTTATTCGTACTCAGGCTGTAAATAGGTGTCTGGTGCTGGGGTACTTCAACCTCTCTGAAGTCTGTTGGAATGGTTTTTGTTACATTTCGGCGACGGGTGCTTTTGGTCCTGATCTGGTACTAACAGTAAAATTGTTGTTGCATCAGTTCGTGGACCTCCCCACCAGGAAAATGGACGCCCAGCTGCCATTTACTTTGGAACTTCTTTTTGCGAAGTCACTCGATTTTGTAAGTGACTTTGCATGCGGCTCTAGGGGTCAGTGATCATTTCTACATGTCTTTTTGGTGTGCTCTTTTTAGGCATCATCAAGCTGTTGCTTTGGCATGCTAAAATATTTGGTGTGCGGACTTTAGTGCAGTACAAGCGAAAGCCCAAGCTTTACATTGTGAGATCTCTGTGGCCGGCACTGTTTACTCAGGTTGGGAGAATTTTAAGACATCTTAACGAGGTTTCTGCTCATTACATCCCATTCAGGAAGAAAAGCGAAGCACTGGCGCAGCCTCCATGGATGGATTCCACGGGTAAATACCTACACAAAAAGCGATCTAGGAGCTAACGCACTTATCAAGTGGCCCCATCAACCAGCACCTACAACAGCTAGCTAGAGAATAGAAATGAATTTGAGCAACATCTCAAGACTGCCCGCCTTCATTACGAGAATGACTTGGCTCAGCCGCAATTAATCCCAATAAGTTTTTTTCTTACCTAAAGAGACGCAACGGTGCAAACCATACCAGCGTTCCCACGAACGTACGTGACCCGTGTGCATACTGGCTATGACAAGGCTTGTATACTTCACAAACAGTATACTGGTGTCTTTGCTTGTGAGACCTCCATCGCAGGTTGCATTGCTTTCAGGAGTTCCACAGGGCTCCTGCGTGACTTGAATTGGCACAACGGAGATTCAAATCTTCGGGCTACTGCAAGGGCTAAATCCTTCTAAAGCTTCTGGCTCTTATTCAACTCATCCAAAGCTGTTGCATGGATTGGCTACTGAGCTAACTATTCCTCTTACATGCGCGTTTACACTATCGCTCGACAGCTGCGTCTTACTTTCGGAATGGAAGAAGGCCATCATATGTACACCTTTTAAAGGCATCAGCAATACTCTATGCAACCGCAACCAGTCGCACGTGGGCTAGGGATACTGCGAGGGTCGCCCGGTCCCCATGCGGGCTCGAACCCGCGCCATCGGATTACTAGGCAGGCTTGGGATCCTTAAGACTAGGAGCCGGCTGTACACCTTTTAAGAGCTGTGACAGTAATTTTCCTGTGAACTATTGACCTGTCAGTTTGACAAGCAAAGTAGTCAAACTGTTTGAACAAACTGGTCAGGAATTCGATGGAGAACAGCCTAAACTAGTTTAACCTTTTCATTGCTACACAATATGAATTCCGTAGGGGATTTTCATGTCTGATGAATTTACTAGTAGCTCGTGAAAGATGGGCTGAGCCAGTAAACATGGGCCGCGTTGTTGACATGCTTTTCATCGACTACTGTCCCACATCTACCACTTTCACTAAACTTGAGATCTAATGGGCTATCTGGTAGTGCCTTTAAATAGGTGTCTGCTTTTCTAGAGGGGAGAGAGCAGGGTGTACATGTGGGATGCATAGCCTTTCGCTTAGACAAGGTGTTCTTGGTGGCGTTCCGCAGGGCTCGGTTTTAGGGCCTTTACTATTTTCAATGCATGTAAATGATTATCTGAAGAGCTTAAGTTCTCGTCGCTACTGTTTGCTTATAACTTTAGGTTCTGGAATATTGTAGATATTCCTGGGGCTTCTGAAACAATTCGGATTTTTTTGGGTATGCTCTGGGGTTGGTCAATATTATGGTTGATGCCCATCTATCAAGAGAAGTGTTCCGTTCTACACATCAGAACGGCTAGTCCCCCAAGAGATATGGTGTTGGCGGGAGTTAACTTCTTTTTGTCACTCAGTAGATTGATCTAGGTGTCGTCCACACTTCTGCCCTTCACTCTGCTGACCATTGGTAGAAGGCTGCTTGTAGAGGGCTGCGTATGATGGGATGTATTCGCCACTCCTTCGGGATCTTAACGACCCATATGTTTGTTAAGCTATTTTTGCCTTTTGTGCGACCCCACTTTGTATGTTGTATCCTGACATGGCTAAGACTCGACCTCAGCGGTGTTTGTGTTATGAGTTTCTTTGTCCCCCTCCTCCTCCAACCACGGTCTCATTTCTGACGCAGCTAACTTTTTTGTAACATAATAAACGGTTGCTAGCTCTTACGATGTTCATCCGTTACTGGCGGCTCAGCCGGCGTGCTTGTGTTACGTCTTTTTTCCTTTCTCATGTATTGCAACACAATAGCTGCGTTGTTTACCACCTCTAGCTAACGTGTATAATGATAATAATGATGAGTACTGTATCCAGTCTTGTCCGCTCTACCTTGCACCTGATATCATTAAACTGGAGAGGGTTTTGCGAGTGAGTACGAGGTTAGTGCTAGGTTTACGGCGACAAACCTATCCCCAACGTCTGATTAATTTTGGCATACACTCAATGCATTACCAGAGAGTTAGAGGGGATTTGAACCTTACCGTCCTGGATTTGTCTAGCATTTTTGACCCGCTAACTTATCTAGCCTCTGTGGTCACTCATGGAAGCTGCACAAACCGCTCTCTGATCGGATTAAGACGGAAGTTCGTCTGTTGCACCTAGTTATTGAGCGCTGGAACTCGCTTCCGGAGTAGCTTGTTAGTGTCATCTACGCTTGAAGGTTTCGAGCGTCAGTCTGTCACGTCATACTTAGATTCAGTGATATCATACGTGAAAATATCAGCGGAACTCAGCTGTGTTTCGCACCGCTGCTCCGGTACACTGTTAGATTTTTATTCATTTTCATTTGAGCCTCCGTTTACGATTGCTACTGCAGAAACAGCTTCTAATATTGTTCAATCAGAATAGTCCTCGTATTTCCAGTGTTCTCCGTCGCTATATGTTAGATCTTTCCACTTGTTACGATTCCGAAATAAGCATTTAAATACTCCACATGACATCCAGTCCAACCGAAGGAAAAGTCAGAGGACCAATGACCTTAACGTACTAACGCGTTAACTGCCGCCAAAATAAACCCTGTACAACTGAAGTAGACATTCGTCCTCTTCATAAGTCACTTAGTGATCATCGACTTCTAGAATAGGAAGATCAAATTTCAAAAGTACTAGTTCCATGCCGATCCAGCCAATCTTTAGGAGGTTGGTAATGGCGTTCAATCCTTGGAACACATCGGGATAATCGGTATGACTCGATTAATCGCTGCAATCATAGTTTTCCCTGGAAATTCTTACCTTCTCCCGGGCAGTTTCCAATCACTGGGAGTCAGAGTCGCATGGTCCCCATCCTAGAAAGCGAATCGATCCGACAGATGCTAAGTTGAGGTTGCCTTCTTTATGTTCCTTCTCCATGTTGTTGGTTTTCCACCGCGGCATTTTTTTCCACTCGCATCCGGGGAGTGTAAATAACGCTCGATATGGGAAGCGATACGCTAGCGTGCGCAATATGTAGCCTAGCCAACGAATGCGATGCCGGAGAATAACGTTTTAAAGGCATAGGCTGTTTGCTCCAAGCACTCGGTCTCTGGATTTTTTGTTGCTTATGTGCCCTTGCCACCACACGCGAGCAATCCTGCGCAGACGACTATCGAAAATGAACAATCGTTTCAAGTCTTCCAAGCGAATAGGCCGGGTCTCACAGCCGTACGAGATCACACGGACGGAAGCAATGTTCACCCTGCCCATGAGCCCGAGACTGACATCGCGACTACGCCATAGGTATCTACTTGGTGAATGCAAGGTGGGTCTTTGCGATCCGTTGTGAGACCTCATCTCCAACGCCGCCGCTTGCCGTGATGAAACTCCCTAGATAAGTGCAACAGGGGGTTTGTTCTGGAACGTCAATAGCAATTTTGGGGGCAGTCACAGGTACCTGCCAATTCTGGAGTAGTACTATACGTTTGCCTGGGGTGAAATACAGACCATACTTTAACACTTCCATTGCCAAGCGATTCGAAGCACTTTAGACGGCTTGTGGATCGTTCCCCATCGAATCGATATCATCATCATTATGCATATTAGCTGCAGCTGCAAAACACCTCAGCTATTGGGCCGCAATACAAAAGATAAGAAGAAAAAACAACAGTGGCGTGTCGACTGAGTCCCCAGTAACGGATGGACATCGTTCCGAAAAGCTAACACCCGGCTATCGTGCTGCAACAAGAGTTGTATTATGCCTAACGACTGAGATCCTGATTGAAAGGAGAGGCTAAGCAGGAGGGGATAGACAAAGGAACTCACAACACAAACGTCATTGGGGCCGGCTCCTAACCATATCAGCAGGTGTGTCCAACCAAACGTTAGGGCCCCAGCCAGACAGTCGAGATACACCAACCGACGACAGCTTCGAAGTGATGATGTTCAGTTCTCTAGACCAAGTTATCACTTGAACTTCTCTCCTCTTCCAAACGCACCCCCCGCGTGCAAACAATGCATGTCGCGGCGGTCGGTTTGCTGGCATGCGCAACACGTGGCCCATCCATCAGAGCCTGGTGTGTGATATAATGGTGCTGACCGGTTCACTTGCTCTTCCTGCATCAAATACGCGACACCGAACACGTTCATTGCTCACGCGGTGCTCCCACCGATTGTTGATCGTAATGGACGTGACGGGGTTTCTTAACTTGGCATAGTGTGAAAATT